TCATCCAGTTACCTCATCCCCCCACCCTCTCCCCTCCAGCAACCCTCAGTTGGTTTCCTATACTTAAGAGTCTTTTATGGTTTGCCTCCCTCTCTGTTTTTCTCTTATTTTATTTTCCCTTCCCTATGACCCTTAGTCTTAAGTGAAATATGTTGAAGTCACTGTTCCCTTTCAAAACAGGGGTCACACATCTGCACTATGGAAGAACATGCAACACAAAATATCCCCTCTTTCACATAAACTCTTCTAGCGGAAATATCCTGCTTCCTAGCTTTTCAATTATATTTACAGTATTTAGAGAGAAACACTCTATTATATAAAAAGTATAAATAATTGGGGGAGACACTACTTCCTTTCAACCCAAGTAGGGCAAGAGAAGGGTAGGATTGGATGCTACCAAATGTGGACACACAATTTCAGTTCTATGGAAAGTTCTATAGAGGATCAGAACCCTACTCTCAGTCCACCCTCTGTTGCTGGAAGGGTCTCCTTGTTGTTGCTTCAGGGTTTCACTGTTTGCCAAATAAGCCACTCCAGCCCTAGAGGCCAGGTCTCTTCCTAAGTAGGGAACTCCAGGTTGGGCAGGGATTGGTAAACAGTGTGGTCAATATGTGCCTATCACTTGGTGTTATATACATATTTTTTATTTATTTGAGAGAGGGAGAGAGTGAGAGAGAGAGAGAGAGATCACGAGCAGGGGTGGGGGCGGGGGGGGCAGACTCCCCACTAAGCAGGGAGCCCGATGTGGAACTCGATCCCAGGACCCTGGGACCATGATCCAACCCGAAGGAAGACCCTTAACCGACAGAGCCACCCAGGAGCTCTGGTGTTATATTTAAGAGCCAACACTGTAGAGGTTAGAGGTTGATCAGGATCTAGGCACCCTGGCTCCTAGCTTGGCTTCTTCACCACTAGTTATATGATAATTTAAAACGTTATGATGTCTCTCTGTAGCCCAGTTTCCTGAATTGTTACATGGAAATAATAGGGTTGCCATTTCATAGGGTGTGTGGCAGAGACACTCACTGTCCACCCAATAACCATGAAGACCCCCATAGTTCCCAGCCCATGGGAACTTAAGGGAAACTACTTTGCAAATCGGCTGTGAACTGATGAGATGGATGTCAGTTCAGGGCCAAACATTTGAAAAGCAAGAGAGCAACACTAGTTCCTTGTTCCCCAGCCAACAATTAGTCCCCAAGTTCCAGATAATGCAGGTATAAAAAAGTGGAGCCTCTTTCCCCAGTATCACCAAATAACTATATGAAGCAGAGACTCATCCCCATGTTGGACATGCTAATGAGTTAGAAGTAAACCTTTTTATGAAAACCCACTTGGTTTGAGGGCTAATGTGTTACTGAGACATAACCACGCCTATCCTGACTCCCTCTTCAGGTAGGTACCGCTCACCTTATTGGGGAAAGTCGCATCAATCTCCTCCTGCAATTTCTGCTGGACATCAGGGTGAGTGGCCAATTCATATACAAGGAAGGAAAGAGAAGTGCTAGTGGTCTCGTAGCCAGCAAAAATAAAGATAATAGATTGGGCCACGAGTTCCAGATCAGAGAGAGCTAAAAGAAGCAAAGACATTTTAGCTAGAGCAGGTGAATATAAAACATCACAGTTTAGATGATGAGAAATCTATTGGAAACTCCCAATTCCCTTGGGGGGAAATGTAAAAGCAATTCAGAATCAAACTCACAGTGATTTGCACTCTGATGTCTACCTACAGAGCCAGAAAAGCAAGAAATTGTCTTGATGTGCTTATTCCCATGGTCTATACTATTCTTGGCCATCTGCTCCTGCTCATGCCACCCTCCCCACCAATTTCAGGAGCTGGCATTTCTGTCTAATGCACACAGAGTTTTCTGTATGTCCTTTGCAGAATCTGAAAAGGACTTCAGTCCTAAGTCACATGGGATAACATTCTCCCCCAGGAAAATTTAAATCCTTCCAGCTTAAACAGAACTTAAATTTCTTTAGAGAGTTTGCAATGCTAAGGCTTAATTATCAGGAAAAAATGAATGATCTTTCATCTAAACATATTTGTGGGAACTTAAGAGAACACAATTGAGCTACAGATAAACTCTTGCTGGTCAAAGTGTGGGATCTGCAGCATCTGGGAACTTATTAGAAATGCAGAATCTCAAACTTCACCCTAAAAGTATCAAATCAAAATCTGACCTTTCATAAGATGTGGTGATTTGTGTGCACAACCTACCTTGAGAAGCACAGATTATACCTTTCTGAGGTCTCAGCTAATAGAAGACCTGGCACACAACTTCTCAAGTGGATGATCTCCAATGTGTACAGAAACTATGATACAGACAAAGTGAGAAGAGTGGGACAGAACTAGGATAATCCATGCCATTAAAGGAGCAGAAGAAAGAATGTGTCAATAGCAGGGTGCTGGCTGGCAAGAAATATAGACAAACTGAATGCAGTGAATGGAATTAGCAATGCCTATTCAATCATGGCCTGAATCAGTCACCTTCCTTAGTGAACGGCCCCACTCTGAATATAAGTTGGCATCTCCTTTGATTTTCTCCTGGCAGAAACACAGCATGGTCATGCTCTGATCTCTTTGGTCAGAACTGTATCAGGACATTTAGATATGTAGAGCACTGAAATGCACTTGGCACTTGCCACAAACACATAATTCACAACTAAAAACCATAAAAAAGTGTGAGAAAGGTCTATAGAGTTCTGATTTCCCAGTCATACTTTCTGTGATGCTGCTGTGGATAAATTCAACTATCAAATTCTTGCTCTTGATTACCATGAACCCCATGATAATCAAACTTTAGAGCTGTGCTGTCCAATAAGGTAGCCACTTGCCAGATGTGGCTATTTATATTTAAGTTTTACTTAGTTACATTAAATAGAATATAAGATTCAGATCTTCAGTGACACTAGCCACATGTCAAGTGCTCAATAACCACATGTGTGTAGTGGTTCATAGAACCAAGCATATATAGAATATTTCCTTCATCACAGAAAGTAGTAGAACTAGATAGATAGAGATAAATAGATAGATGATAGATAGAAAAAAATAGAAGTAAGCATAGTTATAGATATATAGATATATATGGAGAGAGAGAGAGAGTGGTGTCATAGAGTAAGCCCATCGTTTTTCTCTAGAATCAACTGTTATATATTCAAGAATTTTGTGAGATGGTTGTCAAACCATAGATAGCTTGAAATTAACCACAATGGGAATATTTCAGTCATAGAAACAACAATTAAGTCAAGACTCCTTTTTTCTTTCAGATGCAGAGACCATAATTACATCACTGGTTATGGATATAGAAATATTTATCTTCATCAGTCCTGTGTAAATATATTTGATGTTCTTTGTTTGGCCCATTGAGAGGAAATAGAAACAAAGAAACCCTTGTAGCAATGAGCACTCCTAGATCCCAGATTTTGCGTTCTAAATACCATTTCTCACTAAAAGGAAACAGAGCTTCTTGGAGAAATGGCTGATTCCAGGGCTCATCAGGGGAAACAGAAGAGAAACCTGGAATGTCTCATACCAGAATGCAAGGAAATGCTCATAAAATAAATGGGAAAAAGACACAGAATACTCTATGTGCTATAATGGTGGATATACATCATTATACATATGTCTAAACCCATAGCATGTACAACACCAAGGGTGAACTGTAATTTAAACTATGGATTTTGGGTGGTAATAATCTGTCATTGTAGGGGCATTGATTGTAACAAAATTACCACAACGTGAGGGATTTTGATAGTGGGAGATGCAGTATGTAGGTGGGGCAGAAGGGATATGGGATAAGTCTCTGTGTCTCACTCAATTTTGCAGCGAACATAAAACTGCTATAAAAAATAAAGTCTAGGGGCGCCTGGGTGGCTCAGTTGTTAAGCATCTGTCTTCAGCTCAGGTCATGATCCCAGGGTCCTGGGATCAAGCCCCACATCAGGTTCCCTGCTCAGCGGGAAGCCTGCTTCTCCCTCTCCCACTCCCCCTGTTTGTGTTTCCTCTCTCACGTGTCTCTCTGTCAAATAAATAAATAAAATATTTTAAAAAAATAAAGTCTATAGAACCCATAAAGAAGAAGAAAGAGAAAAAAAAGGACACAGGAGCCCACTTAAAATGGCTTCTAGAGGACAAATCTGAGAGAATTGACAATCTAAATTTAAAAAAATGATGTAAGAGACTAAGTAATATTAAGATCATACTGACATATATAAATAAACTAATACAATAATGATGATGAATGGAAAGCCCACCCTAACAATGGACTATCACTCCAAATGTAGAAGAAATGGTAGAAGTAGAAAGCCATCATTTTGCAACCATCATAGTAATAATAGTTTTAGTCAAATACCATCCATGGATGGTAAAAGTAGTAGGTGATGGTTTAAAGACAAACACCACATGTACACAGTCGCAAAGTCATCCTGCACTAGTTACTTCTTAATTACAAAAGGAAAAAAAACTTGGGAGTAGATTAAGCCAGTGCACACAAGTTTAACCAAGTGTTCCAAAAGAAGGTTGCCAATACTGGGGCCAGGTGCCTCCTGACGTGATGAGCCTTGATGTGAATTTCCAGGCCGAGGGTCTGATTAAATGGGTCTGGATTAGGCTGGAGGACTGACATTGGAAACACGCTCCCATGTGGCAGACCACTGACAGCTTTGTCTATCATTGCCCTTCAAGCTATGAACAAACTGTGGCTGTGTTCTTCTGGAAAATGCTCTGGCTACCATTTGTATCTGAACATGTGTCTTTCTTTGATTTTCTGATATTCCATCTGCTAAAAATCTTCCATATACCTCAGAACCACCCCCTTTCTCTGAATCGCCCCATCAAGAGCCATCTGAACCTCTTTTTACTTACCTTTATGGGTGTCTATTTCTTTGGAATTCTGGGAGTTAATCATCAGCTGAAGAAAATCCACTCGGTGCTGGAAACAGAAAGAGACATTTCAATGACAAAAAGTCACTTGTGAAGTCAAAAATAAAACAGGGGTGCAGTACCTAAATTCTTTCCTGAGAATATGGCCCCTTTACATCCAGAAGGTTTTTTATTGTTATGTTAATCACCATACATTACATCATTAGTTTTTGATGTAGTGTTCCATGATTCACTGTTTGTGCATAACGCCCAGTG